TTTGAAGTTGAGACTGTCTGAGAACAGGATTGCTGCACCTGCTTTTTTCTGAGGTTCTGGGGCATGTAGTATTGTGTTCTATCCTTTGACTTTCAGCCTATGTATGTCTTCATGAGTTAAATGTGTTTCTTGTGTACAACATATTGTTGGATTTTGTTTCCTAATCCAATGTGCCTGTCTATTTCTCTTAATTGGTGAATTGAGTCCATTTACATTGATGATTAGAATTGAGATGTATTGACCTACGAATGACATGTTATTTACCTGTTATCGTTTACTCCTTTTTCTCCTGTGTTTAATTGCTTACCCTATTTAGTTGGTTGCTTCTGATCTCATTCGTGGAGTTCTGATCATTTTGTTCCCTCTCTAGAACATCTTTCAGTAGCCTGTGTAGGGTTGGCTTTGTCATCACGAAATTGTGTAGCTGTTCTTTCTCATGAAAGTATTTCACTTCTCCATCAAACTTGAAAGAGAGTTTTGCAGGGTATAGTAGTCTGGGCTGGAATTTGTTTTCATAGAGCACTTGAAGTGCTCTGCTCCATGCTCTTCTTGCCTTCATGGTTTGTGAAGAGAAGTCAGCCGTAATTCTGATGGGTTTTCCTTTTTTTTGTTTGTTTGTTTTTTTGCATAACCAGGGATTGAACTCAGGCCCTTGCACTTGTCAGGGAAGCACTTATTCCACTGAGCCATCTGCCCGGCCCCACGGCCATCTCCCTGGCCCCGGATTTTCCTTTGAATGTGATCTGCTTCTTTTCTCTAGCAGCTTTCATTATATTATTCTTGTGCTGAATTTCTGGGATCTTGACTATTATATGTCTTGTTTTGTTTTTCATTGGTTTAAGGTTACTTGGCGTTCTGTATGCTTCGGTTACCTGAATATCAGATTGTTTCTTCATATTTGGGAAGTTTTCTGCTATTACTTCTGCCCATATTTTTTTAATGTCATTTGTATTGACTCCTTCTTTCTCGTTGATACCAATTAGTCTCACATTGTTCATTTTTGCATCGTCTTGCAGGTAATGGATTATTTTTTCCTGCATCCTCATTTTTTAAAAGAGATCCTTTCTTACCTTATCACTAGCTGCACCAGCATCTTCAAGATCTGAAACTCTGTCTTCGCTTTCACTTAAACAGCTTTGCAAACTTGTGATTGAGATTTTAATTTCCTCTATATCTCTGACTCTGCTTCATGCGATCTGTTTCTTTCCTGTATTGCTCATTGAAGGAATCAGTCATTTTTCTAATCTCCTTTTTTTTTATCAATGTCTTCTTTAGAAGCAGTTATAAATTCTTTTACTGCAGTGTTTCTTTCAGATTATGTTTTCTCCCTTATTTCTGTAGTTGATTCTTTACTTCAGATGCTATGAGTTCTGAGAATTCTTTTTTTAGAAAAGAATTCTGCTCTGAGTTCCTCTATAACTTTCCACTGTTGCTTATTTACTATTGATGCTATTAATTCGTACATTTGAGCTGAGCTAGTAGAAAAGAATTCCAGTCTGAGATCCTCTATGACTTTCTGCTGTTCCTTATTTACTATCAATGCTGTTAATTCATACATTTGAGCTGAGCTTGTGTCCTCTGCACTTTTTGTGGGTGGGCATTGGGTTTCCTCCATATGTTTCTGCATTTGATTCTTTACTGCAGATGTTATTAATTCAGGGATTTCTTTTTTTATTTCCAATCCCGGTTCCTCTATACCTTTCTGCGGCTGTTTATTTCAGAAGCTGTTGATTCATTGCTTTCAACTGTGTGATTCCCAATTTGTTCTGTGTTATTGTCCTCTGCACCTGTTATGGGTGGGCTTGTGGTCTGAGATTCCATTTTGTTCCTTCTTGTCATTTTGTGTAGCACTGTCTTCTGACCTTTGTTGTAGATCTTTGTTGTAGTTATAACCTTAGCACCTACTGAAATTCAGGTGCAGATTTACAAAGTTTGGATTCATGCAGCTGTGACTCTCTTGGGTCTGGCTGTTGTGCTCAACTCTTTCCTGTTGCTGCCCTTGGGGGTGAACCTGTTGTGCCCCTCTGGCAAGATGTTCTGCTCCTGGACTAGCTGGGTGGTTCTGATCCTACACTCTCTGCAGGGACTGCAGCTGCAGGGTTTCACCTAGGCCTGTATGCCAGGCCTGAGCTGAATCTGGAGGGGAAAAGGTGGAGTAGGGGTGAGAGGCAGCTCCCCACACACTCACTGGGCCTGGGCTAGGATTGGATCTGGGGGTTCCCTGAACTCGGCAAAAATTCCTATTTGGCGGGCAGGTTCGGGGAGTACTACGGAGTCAGGAGGCATCCCAAGGGGATGGAAGAGGGTCTCACCCACACTGCGCCTGGGCTGGGACCAGTAGGTCTCGCCAGCGCAGGGTAGGCGGAAGCTCTCCCACACACTCACGGGGCCTGGGCTAGGATTCCATGGTAAGAAATATTAATAAAATGTGGGGGCCAGGGAGATGGCTCAGTGGAATAAGCGCTTCCCTGGCAAGCACAAGGGCCTGAGTTCAAGCCTCGGTTCTGAAAAAAAAAAAAAAGTGATGAGAGCTATGTAAAATAAATTATACATTTACATATATGCGGATAGATAGATAGATAATCTGTCTATTACTTGGGATGGAAACCAGGATTTTTACTGCATTATATCCCCAGCCTTTTAAGAACAAATTTGAAGCAGTGTCTCACTAAGTTTTCCAAGCTAGGCTCAAACTTGTGGTCCTCTTGCTTCAGCCTTCCAGAGAGCTGTTATAGGTATGTGCTACTATGCCCAGCTATGCATTCATATATTTAATGTGATAATGTATGTGCACATTTAGATATTTAAAAATTAGAAGGAACAGGAAAAGCTGAAAACATTTTGTTAGAACAGTAAAAATATGTTGTTTCAGTGTTATCTTAATATTATTGTGCCTGTTGAGGAGGCTTCTCTTTTCTTCACATAAATAAATCTCCTTACCCTCTTTCTAAAAGAGCAGCAGGAGGCCAGGGTGCTGGAGTAAAGGGAATGACACAGTGGGAATAACATGCCCCCATCTCATCTGTCCTTCTGCCCAGCCTTCCATTAACCATCATGATCTACCAGAGGCCTGGAGAGCTTCCTATCTGTCGTGCTTCAATGCCCTTGCATCATTAATATCATCATCTCTACTCTTCTTCTAGGAGTGGATCTTATCGAGGGAGGTATGGAAGAAGTTGTGTATGTTTAGCTGTCAGTCCAAACCTTTTAGAGCCAGCAAGGGACAAAGACAACAATCACTGTGTAATACTCTGGACTTTCTTGGCAGGTGAATACTGCTATGCATGAGGCAAAACTTATGGAAGAATGTGACGAGTTGGTAGAGATCATCCAGCAGAGGAAACAAATGATTGCTGTCAAAATCAAAGAGACAAAGGTAAAGCTTAGCATTTCAGTGAGGCTAAGGAAGAGTTGACTTTTTACAAATGTCAGAGTCTAATCCTGATGACTGCAGTTTGAATTTGGATTATGAAGGCAAGCGGAAATGAGGTAGTAAGGAAACAGGTAAAGAAGAGGCAATCCAATAAAAATGATGACAGTTATGGATGCTGGAAACATTCTATACCTTGACCCTATTGTTGATTGTACATCGGTTGTTAACATCCTTAGGAAACCAGAAGATTGATATAGCAGAGGTAAGCAAGGCTTCGCAAAATGAGATAATGCCAAAGTCAGGGAATGAACTTAGGAAGCTTATGGAATGATTCTTAGTATGAGTTGTTGAAAATCAAAATCAGTGTAATGACAGACAGCACACATGGAAATAAAGAGTGTAGTAAGCACTGCTAGTAAGGAAATGATAGGAATTGTCTCATTTATTAAATATAAAAGTGAAAGGACACAGAGAAGGCAATGAAGGCCCAGGTTTATAACCTGGGAACTGAACTATAGTCAAAAGGTCAGGTGTGAGTTTCCAAACAAGAATGGCTTTAGCCTTATTGGACTGCTGCTCAACATTAGTGATTATAAACTCATGCTATGGGTACAATGTGAAAAGTTAAAGGAGCTTGGTTTGATGACCAGTATTTTGTGTCATGCTGGGTAGTTCCAGCTAACACAGGGATTAAGTTTTCCAAAAATATGCATTTATTAACTCAGAGGTATGCATAAAAACTCTTACAGAAATATATGCAGAAAAATATAGATAAAAGTAAAGCAAAAATGAAGTACTTTTTATTAAACATGTATGTGAATATACACCAATAGTAGAAGTGGTGATCTCTAAGTGGTAAAGATTCTTTTTATTTTTGAAATTTTCTAGAATGAGCATGTATTACTTTTATAATTAGAAAAATTAATGTTATTAATACAAACAGGAGGAAGATAACTGATAGTCTGTGATTGAGTGCAATGCAAGTGAGCAAGCTGTAGATTGGAGAAGGAGGGGTTGGCAGAGAGACTTAGCAGGTAGGGTGAGAAGGTGAGTGGTTAGTACAGTGACCCTGGGATATTAATAAGCTTTATTTGTAGAATAACTACGGCAAATTTCCTTTATGTTGTTTTATTATTTTAATTAAGCACTGTATGTTTTATCTTGCTTTTTCTTCTACTAATTCCTTTAAGGTTATGAAACTGAGAAAGTTGGCCCAGCAGGTTGCTAATTGCCGTCAGTGTCTTGAACGGTCAACAGTCCTCATCAACCAAGCTGAGCATATCCTAAAAGAAAATGACCAGGCACGGTTTCTACAGTCTGCAAAAAATATTGCTGAGAGGTAGGTTCCTTATATTGTTTTGAAATGCCTGCTCTTGTGAAAAGGGGACAGTTTAAAGTCATTTGATTTTTTTTCAAGCATATATGTAGCGGCTGCTACTTGAAGATTTTACCAGAGAGTGAGTTATTGAGCCATAGTGGTTAACCCCTGTGGATTTCTGGACCCTTCTTTTCATCTTTGCAGCCTATCAGTTCTCTTAATGCACAGCCAAGCAAGAGGTCTATGTTCTGCATGCTCACACAGCTGCCATAGATCATTAGGCCAATTTGCCTTCCATATGTTGTATCCCATACTCATTTACTGGAGGTTTTGACTCCAATCTCAGTCTCCCTCCTGGTGCTTCTGTCATCATTCTGGATGCCTTTAGTGATACCTATCTGGCTAACTCATCTAATGTTCCTTTTTTAAACAATTTTATCGAGAAACAAATAACAATGACACAGTTTCAAAACAGGTTAGTAGGACAGTTTCAATAATTAATACATTGCATATTGTTGCCTTCTTAGTGGTTATTCATTGTACAAGATGTAGGCATGATATCCTGTCCAAACACTGTTAGTACAAATCTCTTTATTCATTGAATTAAGAGTAAGCTGTATATCTATCCTATTTTAAATATACAGATACAAAATGGTTATTCATTTGTATCCCATTTTTTTGTTTAGTTTTGTCAGAGATGGGTATTCCCAATTTGGTTTGAAACTGTCTCATCGTTATTTGTTTATCAATAAAATTATGGGAAAAAAGAAAGATGAAACACATTTCTCTGCCAAAAGAAAAAACATTATTTTCATTACATCTATTAAAGTTTGGGTTTTGGTATAAAAAAAGAGAGAGAGATGGGTATTCCATTGTCATTTAAATATTGTAGGTGCGTGAATTCAACAAAGTATTCCAATATAGTCCAGTAGTCCATAGTAGTAGTGGGTTTTCCGTAGGACTGGAAATGTACGAAGTTGTTGACTTGAGCTTTTTACAGCTCAGCATATTAATATGGCTTTACTTTTTATACTTTGTTTTTATACTTTTCTACTGAATGGTTAAGACCAAGGTGAAGCAGGATTTAAGCAACAAGAGTTGCAGCTTTTGGGTCTGATAAGGTCAGTGAAATCCCCTCAGGATTTCTCCTGAGATCCTGTACCTCAGATTGTAGATCCTTTGTCAGTGTCAGCCTTGTAGATGAGTCATGGTCATTGCTTGGCCAATTTGCTCTCTGTGAAAGCCTGAGAGAATGTTTTCTCTCCATGTGTCTCTCCTTAGGCATACTCTACATCATCGATCACCTTCCTCTGTGGCCGCATAATCTCCTTGATCAGAAAATCTGGGACACAACTGAGTTACATGATGTTATTGTACAGGTTCTCCTATGTCCTGAGTCCTCACTGACCTTGAAAGGCTAGGGCCAAAATTTTGCCTGTCCTTGCAGCCCTTCTATTTCTCTAATTTTTTGAGAAAAGCTAGGAAACTTGACAGGGGCAAAGCCATACATTTGTATGCACAAGATGGTTAAGGTAATGATCCTGATAATCTTCAGCATGTTTTTGAAACTAGCAGTTATTTGGTAGGATTCTCGCCCTGACTAACTATATATGCTAATACCTGTGAACTAGGCAACTGCACTGAAAATAGCAATGTGTAATACTAGGGTCATGCTTGAAATGTCTGTCATTCTGGTCTTCTAAATACATACTGCTTGTCATGTCATACCAATTACTGCCATACTGTCTCTCCAGTAAATGTTTGTTTAAAAAAGGGGGGGAGTAATACATGAAAACAAGAGACATGAAAAAAAATGTCATAGTCCTCTCCTGCTACAATGCTGTATATGGTTAGATTTCTAAATTTCTGTGGAAAAATATGTAATTGTTTATTCCTATTTTTTAAAAATATTTCTTATTTTTAATTTTTTTATTCATCATATTCTGTAGGGACTTAAAGTTTAACATATCAATACTTGATGGAAAATACCTGTTCTTTGTTCTATCCTTTTAGCCTCCTTGTCATCTTCTCCAGTGACTCACTTCTGGCCCACATGACCTACTTCCATGGACTGTATGGCTAACTGCATCATTACTCAAAATTGCACTGAAATTATAAACTAAAGCATCCCAGTTTCTCACTACAACCTTCTTGCTTAAAACTCATTTTTTTTCTTTGAATATTTATGTTTTTCAGCTTTACTGGAAACACTAAGTCCTGACATTATGTTCTTTTCCTGCCTACCAACTATCTCTTGTCCCTGTCCTCCCTCCCTCCTCCCCTTCCTTTCCCCCGTTTTTCCCATTGTACTGGGGATGGAACCTAGGGCATTTATACTGAGCTACATCCCTAGTCCATTTTATAATTTTGAGACAGGATCTTAACTAAGTTATGAGAATGGGCTTGAATTTAATATTCTTCCCACTTTAGCTTCCCAAGTACCTTGGATTACAGGTGTGCACTACCACATTTGGTCTCACTTTCTCAATGTATGTGATTTCTCTCTTCAGCTCCTCTTTTTTCTATTTGTCCAACTCCTTTGCCCATTGTCCTTTTATCACATCAACCTGAGAAAGCCCCAACCTGAAATCAGCTAGTCCCACCTTTTCCATGCCTATGTTTGAGTTTCAGAGCATTGCTGGAGAAAAATCACATAGCCACAGAGATTGGTCTTAACTGTGTAACAAATTTATGATTCCTAATCTCACTTGGACTTTCATCAAATGCAATCTTTCTGTGTTCCTTTGGTCAATTTTCTTTTGAACTCATCTCGACAATGGCTATTTCAGATCATATGTATCCACCTCAAAATTACAACTACACCTGCCACCCTCCTGCTTATACTCTGCAAATGCCCTCTTATTTTACAGATAATGGTAGGTATTGACCTTCTGGATCAAGGACTTCTGCCTTTCTTCTGGTCATAATGGAGGAAATGACCTTTCATTGGTGCTTTGGGCACATATTCTTATTTTTCTATAGCTTTGGTCTCTAATCTTCTATAGTTGACTTCAAATTTACTTTAAAACTCTCTAATGTCTCTCCTACTAAAAATGAAAACAAAATACTCCTACCACTTTCCTCTGCCTCATATCTGTACTAGTTGTCACCTTAGTCCTCTCTCTGCCTTGATAGAAAACTGCTTGTAAGAGTTTCCATTTCCTCATCCTTATTTTACTCTTATCATTATTAAAGTTTACTCATGTCAAAGTGATATTTTGTACATATTTAGAAAGTAAATTAACTATAAACCATATTGAAAGAAATGTCAATTGTCCATGTCCAATTTCAGTTCTCCAACAAGAACAATAATACTATTGAGCACTTACTTTGTACTGGACACTGTTTTAAGCCTGGGAATTACAGGTGTGTGCCACCTTGTGTGAATATTTTTTTTCAGGTTTAGATATTATCTAATTTGTCTTTTACAAATTTATTAAGCCTTTAGGCACTTCTCTTCTTCCTTTTCCCTTTCTTCCTCTGTCTCTCCTTTTCCTCCTTTGTACTGTGAATTGAACCCAGTGGTGCTCTACCACTGGGCTACATGCCTAGTGAGACAAGTTCTCACTAAGCTACCCAGGCTGGTGTCAGAGTCACAGTTCTTCTGTCTCAATCACCTGAGTAAGTATGAGCCACCTCACATTATTTCCTCAAAAAATTGTTTTTGGCAACATTTTCTCTATTTAAGGAAGGATGTTTCAATTATCTATGTTTTAGGATGCTTGAAGTTGTCGTATAGTTAGCTGATGTTGATTATTGTTTTGTGGTATTTGGATTTTGCCAGGGGTGCTCTGGCACTGAGCTATACCCCCAGGCCTTTTTTTTTTTTTTAGAGACAGGGTATTGATAAGTTGCCCAAGCCAGTTTTGAATTGTGATCCTCCTATATTAACCTATAGAGTAGCTGAGATTATAGGCATGCATCAATACATTCAGCATTTTTAAAATTCTTCTTAAAAATCTCTGTTTCTATTACTATTTCTTTGAACTAAGTTTTTCTTTTATAATGCCGATTCTACTGTTAACATATCCAATGTATTTTATCTCAGATATTGCAGTTTCATCTCTATAATTTTAATTTGAGTCTTTTAAAATATCTTCCATATCTCTAAAAGGTATTTGGCTTTTCTTCTAGATTTTTTTAAAAACATATGTGATACAAGTATAATAGCCGTTTTAATTTCCTTGCTCAATAGCTTTAGCATCTCTTAACCAGTTGCTTTTTATAAATTCTTTCAAATATAAAAAGTTAATTTTATTAATACATGTGTGTATTACACAACAACTACGTTCATTGTGGGAAGTTGTTACATGTATGTGACACATGTTAATTCTTTCACTTGTTCATCTCTTCCTCTCCCTCCTCCCTCCCTCGATCTCTTGGTCTCCTTCCCATTTTCAAAAGCTTTATCTCCCACTTCTCTCTTATCTATCTTTTATTTTGCTCTTTACTGATTACTCACTTTTTCTCCTCATTACGAGTTGTACTTTATTGATTCTTTGCATGTCTGGCCATTTTTGGTTATGTGCCAGACCTATATCCCCAGGCCCTATATTTTTGTATTCTTATAAGTATTCTTAAGCTTTGTTCTAGGATATAGTTATGTTCCTTAGAGAGAGCTTGATCCTTTCAAGTCTTGCTTTGAAGATTTGTTGGGTGAAGGGCTAGGAGTATACTCAGTAAAGAGCAAAATGCACAAAGGAATGTACAAAGTCCACTGAGTTGCACCTCCACCAATGCCAAGATTTGTTAGGTGACATCAGAGCAGTATTTAGGGACAATTTTTCTCCACTACTGAACCAAAACCCTTCTGTGAGTCCCATGAATAGTGAGATTTACCAGCTTAGCTGGTGAAAAAAGACACTACTCACTATATCTGTCCATGTCTGACCACTAAGATTTTTCCCTCTAGTTTTTTTTTGATGGCTGTTTCCCTAACAATGTGTAGTTTCTTCACCTGCCTTAGTTAATCAATATTCTGTTGAATACTTGATCAAAATCTTTTGAAAGCCTCTAGAATT